TTTTTATTTTGATATGAAGAGTGATTACTGATCTCAGAATTCTTCATTTTTTAGCGGTAACACCACGTCTTTGTAGAAAAATAAACGAGTAAGAAATTAGAAGAGCTTTCAGTCTCTTTCGTTCATTTGTATTGCCTGTCTTGCAAGAACGTAACTTGGAAGCACATTTTCTACTAATAGATCTTTCTAGGAAAGGTCTATGTGAAGGTAATTCTAATATGTAGCTCCAGTAAGAGTAAGATGAGAGCGCGTTCATCATTGCGTATGGTACGGTACTTTACGTATCAGCACCCATTCAAAAAAACGCATTTTTCGCTCTTTCTATATCTTTTAATAGTTGAATAAGCCGATCTCCTTCATTAGCTTGAACCTCGAAATTTTGAAAAATGTATGTTACTTTACGAAGGGTCTCTATATAACGCTGTAACAATGAGAAGAAAATGTTATATGGTAACAATCATGCATCTTTCAATGAGCAAAGCTTTTCCTTGAAAAGTTCTACGGCTGCTCTGCTGCAGAAATCTCAAAAAAAAACAATAATTTTTTTGATTTTTCATGAAAACTCTTTATTGCGCCGCAAACTAAAATGAAAATTGCATTTTACATGTGGTGCGTATACCTTCCACCGGTAAGTGGATGGATATTGCAACATTAGCATCAAGACGTCGTCATTCAATAACTGCACATCTTTGTATTTTTTGGCTACACAAGGCTTTTTTCCTGGGCTTTGACACCTATTCGACATTGGAAATCTTAACAGTTCTAAGTATATGCTTAGTTTTTGAGAAACACTTCTTAGTGCATCGTTAGAATGTTTACACTCGGCTCGCACCGCACGCCCTATGTAAATTGCTCTTCGATCGGCACGGCGCCGAGTGTGAAGCTCAATAATCTTCTAGCTGTAACTATGCAATACAACGCCTTACTCATAAACCAAATTTACCGTTGAAATCGCATAGATCTGTGATATGGATTTCTCATTGAAAGTTCAAATGAAAGCCTCTGTCCAACGAAGGTTACTTGAGTGTGAAAGAAAGTTTTACTTCACCTTTACAGCGCCATACAAAAACCATGTGAGAAATGAAATACATTCCTCAGATTTCAATATGCCTGGTAATGACTTTTGAGCAATGCATGTCAGTGATCTACTGAAGGGGCTGACTTAAAGAGCTCGATACACGTGTTTCGATCTTGCGATCTCGTCAGTCGGGCACTTACCCTTTCTCGTCTTTTGCCAATCCTGTGTGAGTGCTCCAGTCCTCACACTAAGAGTTAGTGACGACGCCACGAGCAATCGCGTATACAACATTCTGCGTTCGGTGATAATTTTACTGGACATAGAGTGTAAAACGTTCGTCGTCGCTAACACATACCACACGACATGCGTGACTAAAAAATGATTTTGTGGCAAATTGAAATTTGAGCTGTGGTCTCAAGAAAACACTCAGAGCGAAAGAAATGATACAATGAATATACCAGCCACGAGGAATCGAGTATACAACACTCTGTGTTCGGTCACAATTTCACTGGATATAGAATGTATAACGTTCGTCGTCGCTAACTCTTAGTGTGGGGAAGAGGCACCCATAGAGATTAGCAAAAGACGAGAAAGGGTAACTGCTCGACTGACGAGACTGCAAGGTTGAAACATGGGCTTTATAAGTCAGCCCTTTTATTAACAGACTACACGACATGCATGGCTCAGAAAAGTCCATATCTTCGCAAAGAAATTTTTCTCATTTGCACGTAATATTTCCCACACCCTCCAACAAACAGGCAGTTCATACGTTCCTTTGAAAGAACCACAACCTGCCAAATCATTATAGCATACACGTTCATAGCTTTTTGGTGTTCCATAAGAAGCGTTGCTGATGGCATGCATTGCAGAGTCAATAATCATGCCTGTTTTAAAGGGAAGGGGGGAATGGCATGCCGGAAGGCTCCATGACATTTTGGAGCAGATAATTCGAAAACATGCGATTTGCATACATCAGCTCTAAAAAGCACCGAGACACCATCTGCGAATTTGCTATGAGTAAAAATATGGTCGGAAACGTATCAGAAAAGTCAAGGATAACTGTGCCAGGAGGGCTGACTTCCCTTGACGATGCGCCGCTATTACATTGGGTTTAAGTTTCTCACTAGTGTAATCCATTTCTATGCAAATCTTCCGTAGGATCAAATAATATCAGCATAATTCTTCAAAAGTTCAAATCGTCAAATATACCTGAAGAATAAGTGTAAAGGCGCTACCACCACCTTTTTCCTAAGTGCTCCTCCAGTTGCGAGATCTTCACGGAGAAGTAGATATTATAATTTACTTTCTCTTTTGGACGTAATCAATAATATTCTTAACAACTATTGGGAGAAAACGTTTGGAACTAACCTTGCATCAGCACAAAAATGGTGCATGCGACAGGTTTAGAAAGTGATAAATCAAAGCTATCATTTCTATCGATTAGTGCCTTTCTTTTAGAAAAGAGCAAGACTGTTCCAGTGGAAACCAACCCTGTATCGACTCATTCAGTATCTTGTTTGTGCACGTTTTTTTTTTCAAAACGAAAAACTATGATTTTGTTTTACAATTGGCTTCAATTAAACTGATATCGCATTTTTCGAACTAGAGTGGTCAATCTGTTCAGATCGACTCCCTCTGTCATGATGAAACTCTTACATTCAGCAGCAACAACCACGTAACCCCCTCCTCTTGGCAATCATCTTTTTCTGCTGCCCCCTGGGGGCGTTCAAAAATTGCGTATGACACCCATGTTCCAGGGGTCATCGCGGGCAATTGGGAAAAGTTTTCAACCAGCAATAAACGCACCTCGGCAAAGCCTCATTGGTCACGTTATCGCCACTGCGCAAAGCTGAAGGTAACAGCAGATGGTTATGGCCACCGGATGGCGCGTCGTATATGAGGCGGCTTTATATTGGCGCAAAAGCACGTCCATCGAGTCAGTGAGAACATCTACGCTCTCGTATGCAATACCCTCCTTATTATTTCATAGCATTCGGCGATCTCACACTTTATATTGGAACCTAAAAGAAAAAAGACTGCTTGATTTTTTGACAAGTTAGGCAGGGTGATGTTATTATGAGAATTTACCTTTTTCAGGGTCACAAATGAGATTCAGTCGAGAATATCCTTGCCTTTATTTTCCAACGAAGTAAGCACGTGTATTAAATGATGCATAAGACAAGCATGTCTGAACAACTCAGTAGAATAACTGAAACACCCCACAAACACTCTAGAGAGTCAATCGACCCGCAACCGACGGCATGGCTCCCTTTTCGGAACGAAAAACTGCATAATTTTCTCTAAAGGTAGAGATGGCGAATAAATGAGAGTGGTACGGTGTACCTGATATCTCTCAAGGTATCTGGAGAGGAATTTGTTGGCAGGGAATAGCAAAGCTAAAGATTTTCCTTATGATCTCCTTTGTACAATGCCATTCAATTGATTGAATGCCAAATTCAGTACGATTGCATAGTAAATCAGCATTTTTCACTACAGAAGACACGTATAACCAAACCAAAAGCATATGGGCGAGTAGACAAAATCTTGTCCTACTTTTGGAAATTTTTGCCAAACAAGAAGAAAACTTCACTTAAACAACGAAAATTGTGTGATTTGCTCCGCGTGCATCGATTTCTATAGCCGTCCGTTAGAGATTAGTCCATTCAAATTCAACTCAATAATTCGCATTCAATTGTTTAGTAGGCTCTTTTGAGCGAGTAAACAGAGAGTTGCCTTCAGTAGAGCTAATCTGAATTGAGCACTGATCTACATTATTCTATCTCTGACGGTGACCAAGACACTCCTTGGCATACAGTTGTTGTGGCGTCGATAGCTTGGTAACCAAGATCGCACACAACTGTGCTGTCATTCTCTGAAGAAATCCAACCTTTAGGGGGCGGCTATAGAAACATTGCGCGCAAAGCGAACTGCGTAGCGGTAGGCGATTTTTTTTACTTGATTGAGACTTTTTTCTCAGTTCAACCTTCGTCTAGAACAGCATAGCATTTGTAAGGATTCCTTGTAAAACATTACGTCGTCAATTGGTTCGGAACCTCTTGATAGGTTTTGTAGGCATTTTCTAATTACGATGCCTACTTCGTCTGGCATGAAGAGTTGTGTCAGAGGTAATTCACTATTTAGATATGGCGCCCTACTGTTCTTGATACACGACCATTCGCTCCTTTTTGACCTAACGTTAGCTTTTGGTTTTTATATCCATTATAATTGGTTATTTCTCATGCCGAAGGTAATGATTCACTTCGTTCCTCGTCTATCGTGCAAACACTTGCGGTTGTTCGGTACATATTTCGGACAAACGATTTTTTACTGTGTAAAGGATGAGAAATGAAAAGAAATACACCAAAGTAAAATGCTTTTTTATCAGAAGAGGTTGTCTAAAGCTTGAGTTAGGTTAGCGCCAGGAGGGCCATACACCGGTGTTTCGGAGGTTTCGGCCTCCTCGTCGGTAACCCCCGCCCCACAACAAGCCCTGCATTGTAACAAATTTTTAGACATTCTTTTTCGAAACTGTTTCGAATATTTACTGCGAGGTTTGAAAGCAGTCGATGTTATGGATTAGAATGCTTTTATTGTTTGGTTTTCGATACAATTTCATCGTGTAACCACTTTCGCTAAGCTATACGTTCAAAAGGGGGAGTCACTTCTCTGTAAATTTTTCTCGTGTGAACTTCATATACTTCGACTGCCTGTTAAGAAGTTCAAAGCATTTATCTGTTCCCTGCTGTCCACAGCAGATGACATAACAGTCGTCAGCATATCGACAGTAGAGCATTGAACGCCGACCGAAACCTGGAGCTCCCGATTTAGGTACGAAGGCAATTGCTAGGATTGGTGCTATTCTTTGCGAGAATTTAGTAGTGACAAAAGCACGGACTCAGATGGGAATCGAGTCAAATCTGTTGAAGGTTGGTGTGTGACAGCTAGTATAGAAATGCTGAAGAATGAGTGGTGGCGTAAATGTGCCTTGCTGGTGTAATGGTAGCAGCATGCGTCCCCGGTGTGGGTGAGGCGCGGGTTCGATATCCGCTCATGGCCGTGTTTTTGCTCACTACTCAGTTCTCTTAGATATATATTTGCCAAAAAAAGGAAATAATATTAAAATATCGGGATATAACAGCTATTCCTTGAACCAAGAACCTAATTTGCGTATAAGATCTTTTCTACCGCCTAGATATCAAACAGCTGAGGCGCGATTTCAAAAGCGTTACAGGCTGCTGAATAGGCAAGCCTTGCATAATTATGTTTTCCCTACATTTGCTAGCAGTAATCTTGAATGGCTTGTAATGTGACGTCATTAGACTAGATGACACGGTGAGTGGTTTGATTTCTTTCAGTAAAGCAACGTTTACGAATGACATAGATTTTCATTCATCCCATAATATTCTGCATAATACATATGAACAGCGTTACAATAATGCGTTCAGGTTCTGAGAAAGGCGATGGCGCCGAAACGCCAGTCACAAATCCTCAAGAAGACCCAGCGCTCGTCAGAAAGAGCGATGTATCGTCAAGAAGCCATATTAAACTTCCAAAAGCTTCAAATAAAGATTGCTTTTCAAGCTAGTCTTTACCCCCCCCCCCCCCCCCCCTCCTTCATATCACATTTAACATGCAACATGCAAAGGTTTGAAGGAAGTCGGACTTTGAATGGTTGGAAAAAGTGTTCTTCCAATGATTCTGCGAAATATTATCTTACTAGAGCTTCGACCGAGAGCACAGTTGTCAGAGAATCTGCTCTCATTACAACGCTCGTTACTGAAAATATTGTGCTATTTCTCTCTAAGAACAACCCTAATATACAATTTGGAATCATTTCGCGAACGCACAATAATGTTCATTCAATGGAACTTATTTTGAAAGTAGATGGCTCTGTCAACTACTGCGAAGGAATTTTTTTAAAATCATGAATGAAATTTGCCCGAATCTTCATTGACGTCAATTCACATTATCACTATTATGTTGAGGCAAAAGAAATGGTTGTTCCAGAGCATAAGTTTCGAATCATAATTACGCTCACCCAAATCCAACTAACGCTTATTTATCAACAAGAAAAAAGTCAAATCATTCTTATAGTCCAGAAATTCGTGAATCAAGATTTGACGAAGCCTTGCGAAGATTTTTCTGTATCCTAATTCTTGTAAGGGCGTTTTCTCTGGAAGAAGATGTCGTAATGCTTGAAGAGGTAATAGACGGTAGGCGCATGGTTCCGTTAAAATGGAGGACGAGGTAAAACTTCCTGTCAACTTCCCTCAGCAGAATTGTCGACTTTAACAGGACTTCTTCCACCCATGAAGTCAGTATCGAGTGTACTGGGTGCAGTGACCACAGACTCCTAGAATGATATTCAGTATAAAATACTTTTAATGTCACTTTCATCTTATTTATCTATAATCGCTAAAAACTAGGTGATAAAAAGTCTCACGTTTACGTCAGCAGAATTGTCGACTTTAACAGGACTTCTTCCACCCATGAATTCAGTATCGAGTGTACTGGGTGCAGTGACTACAGACTCCTGAAATGATATTTATTAGAAAATACTTTTTATGTCACTTTATCTTATTCATCTTTTGATACGAGCTAAAATAGGTGATAAAACTCTCACGTTTACGTCAGCAGAATTGTCGACTTTAACAGGACTTCTTCCACCCATGAAGTCAGTATCGTGTGTACTGGGTGCAGTGACTACAGACTCCTGAAATGATATTTAGTATAAAACAATTTTAATGTCACTTTTATTATATTCATCTCTTGATAATAGTTAAAATAGGTGATAAAAAGTCTCACGTTTACGTCAGCAGAATTGTCGACTTTAACAGGACTTCTTCCACCCATGAAGTCAGTATCGAGTGTACTGGGTGCAGTGACTACAGACTCCTGAAATGATATTTATTAGAAAATACTTTTATGTCACTTTTATCTTATTCATCTTTTGATAAGAGCTAAAATAGGTGATAAAACTCTCACGTTTACGTCAGCAGAATTGTCGACTTTAACAGGACTTCTTCCACCCATGAATTCAGTATCGTGTGTACTGGGTGCAGTGACTACAGACTCCTGAAATGATATTTAGTATAAAACAATTTTAATGTCACTTTTATTATATTTATCTCTTGATAATAGTTAAAATAGGTGATAAAAAGTCTCACGTTTACGTCAGCAGAATTGTCGACTTTAACAGGACTTCTTCCACCCATGAAGTCAGTATCGAGTGTACTGGGTGCAGTGACTACAGACTCCTGAAATGATATTTAGTATAAAATAATTTTAATGTCACTTTTATCTATATTCATCTCTTGATAATAGTTAAAATAGGTGATAAAAAGTCTCACGTTTACGTCAGCAGAATTGTCGACTTTAACAGGACTTCTTCCACCGATGAAGTCAGTATCGAGTGTACTGGGTGCAGTGACTACAGACTCCTGAAATGATATTTAGTAGAAGATACTTTTAATGTCACTTTTATCTTATTCATCTTTTGATAATAGTTAAAATAGGTGATAAAAACTCTCACGTTTACGTCAGCAGAATTGTCGACTTTAACAGGACTTCTTCCACCCATGAAGTCAGTATCGAGTGTACTGGGTGCAGTGACTACAGACTCCTGAAATGATATTTAGTATAAATACATTTTAATGTCACTTTTATTATATTCATCTCTTGATAATAGTTAAAATAGGTGATAAAAAGTCTCACGTTTACGTCAGCAGAATTGTCGACTTTAACAGGACTTCTTCCACCCATGAAGTCAGTATCGAGTGTACTGGGTGCAGTGACTACAGACTCCTGAAATGATATTTAGTATAAAACAATTTTAATGTCACTTTTATTATATTCATCTCTTGATAATAGTTAAAATAGGTGATAAAAGTCTCACGTTTACGTCAGCAGAATTGTCGACTTTAACAGGACTTCTTCCACCCATGAAGTCAGTATCGAGTGTACTGGGTGCAGTGACTACAGACTCCTGAAATGATATTTATTAGAAAATACTTTTATGTCACTTTTATCTTATTCATCTTTTGATAAAGCTAAAATAGGTGATAAAAACTCTCACGTTTACGTCAGCAGAATTGTCGACTTTAACAGGACTTCTTCCACCCATGAAGTCAGTATCGAGTGTACTGGGTGCAGTGACTACAGACTCCTGAAATGATATTTAGTAGAAAATACTTTTATGTCACTTTTATCTTATTCATCTTTTGATAATAGCTAAAATAGGTGATAAAAACTCTCACGTTTACGTCAGCAGAATTGTCGACTTTAACAGGACTTCTTCCACCCATGAAGTCAGTATCGAGTGTACTGGGTGCAGTGACTACAGACTCCTGAAATGATATTTAGTATAAAACAATTTTAATGTCACTTTTATTATATTCATCTCTTGATAATAGTTAAAATAGGTGATAAAAAGTCTCACGTTTACGTCAGCAGAATTGTCGACTTTAACAGGACTTCTTCCACCCATGAAGTCAGTATCGAGTGTACTGGGTGCAGTGACTACAGACTCCTGAAATGATATTTAGTATAAAATAATTTTAATGTCACTTTTATCTATATTCATCTCTTGATAATAGTTAAAATAGGTGATAAAAGTCTCACGTTTACGTCAGCAGAATTGTCGACTTTAACAGGACTTCTTCCACCCATGAAGTCAGTATCGAGTGTACTGGGTGCAGTGACTACAGACTCCTGAAATGATATTTAGTATAAATACATTTTAATGTCACTTTTATTATATTCATCTCTTGATAATAGTTAAAATAGGTGATAAAACGTCTCACGTTTACGTCAGCAGAATTGTCGACTTTAACAGGACTTCTTCCACCCATGAAGTCAGTATCGAGTGTACTGGGTGCAGTGACTACAGACTCCTGAAATGATATTTAGTATAAAACATTTTAATGTCACTTTTATCTATATTCATCTCTTGATAATAGTTAAAATAGGTGATAAAACGTCTCACGTTTACGTCAGCAGAATTGTCGACTTTAACAGGACTTCTTCCACCCATGAAGTCAGTATCGAGTGTACTGGGTGCAGTGACTACAGACTCCTGAAATGATATTTAGTAGAAATACTTTTAATGTCACTTTTATCTTATTCATCTCTTGATAATAGTTAAAATAGGTGATAAAAACTCTCACGTTTACGTCAGCAGAATTGTCGACTTTAACAGGACTTCTTCCACCCATGAAGTCAGTATCGAGTGTACTGGGTGCAGTGACTACAGACTCCTGAAATGATATTTAGTATAAAATAATTTTAATGTCACTTTATCTATATTCATCTCTTGATAATAGTTAAAATAGGTGATAAAAAGTCTCACGTTTACGTCAGCAGAATTGTCGACTTTAACAGGACTTCTTCCACCCATGAAGTCAGTATCGAGTGTACTGGGTGCAGTGACTACAGACTCCTGAAATGATATTTAGTAGAAAATACTTTTATGTCACTTTTATCTTATTCATCTTTTGATAATAGCTAAAATAGGTGATAAAAACTCTCACGTTTACGTCAGCAGAATTGTCGACTTTAACAGGACTTCTTCCACCCATGAAGTCAGTATCGAGTGTACTGGGTGCAGTGACTACAGACTCCTGAAATGATATTTATTAGAAAATACTTTTATGTCACTTTTATCTTATTCATCTTTTGATAAGAGCTAAAATAGGTGATAAAAACTCTCACGTTTACGTCAGCAGAATTGTCGACTTTAACAGGACTTCTTCCACCCATGAATTCAGTATCGAGTGTACTGGGTGCAGTGACTACAGACTCCTGAAATGATATTTAGTAGAAAATACTTTTAATGTCACTTTTATCTTATTCATCTTTGATAATAGTTAAAATAGGTGATAAAACTCTCACGTTTACGTCAGCAGAATTGTCGACTTTAACAGGACTTCTTCCACCCATGAATTCAGTATCGAGTGTACTGGGTGCAGTGACTACAGACTCCTGAAATGATATTTAGTATAAAACAATTTTAATGTCACTTTTATTATATTTATCTCTTGATAATAGTTAAAATAGGT